TATTATTATTATTATTATTATTATTATTATTATTATTTCCTTTGATTTCTTATGTGTACTCATTTCTTTGCGGCTTCTCGCTCAGGGACCTAAGGTTAGAAATGACGTCATGACATTTCCACTGAAAAAAAAAAATTTCATAGAAGAAGCCCTTCGTAAGGTGTGGGCTGTACGCGTGAGAACAATCTTTTGTATTTCTTTGGGCTTCCAGTGATCCCTTCAATCAGTCTACTGGAATCTTTTCCAACCAATCTGAGGGCTCCAACTACAACGGTGATTATTGATGTTCCCATACGTCACACTTTTATTATTATTATTATTATTATTATTATTATTATTATTATTATTTCCTTTGATTTCTTTATGTACTCATTTCTTTTGCGGCTTCTCGCTCAGGGACCTAAGGTTAGAAATGACGTCATGACATTTCCACTGGAAAAAAAAATTTCATAGAAGAAGCCCTTCGTAAGGTGTGGGCTGTACGCGTGAGAACAATTTTGTATTTCTTTGGGCTTCCAGTGATCCCTTCAATCAGTCTACTGGAATCTTTTCCAACCAATCTGAGGGCTCCAACTACAACGGTGATTATTGATGTTCCCATACGTCACACTTTTATTATTATTATTATTATTATTTCCTTTGATTTCTGGCGTTTACACAATACTTTCCGCGTCCCGCCCAGGGACCTAAGGTTAAAAATGGCATCATGACACTTTCCATTGACAAAATATTCATTGAAATTGGTAGAGATTTGCGTTTTAACCTTGACTGCCAAGGTTTAACTATGTTATTATTATTATTATTATTATTATTATTATTATTATTTCATTGGATTGCTGATTTATACAAATATCTTCCGGGTTTCAACCAGAGATCTAAGATCAGAAATGGCTTCATAACATTTTGGTAAAACAAAAACCAAAAAACCTAGGCTCACACGCATTTTACATAGATAAAACCCTTCGTAAAATGTGACCTGTACTTGTTAGTACATTTTTTCCTTTAAGGCACGGGGTAGCTTTCACTACTTTCAAAGCGTCTATCTGAATCTTTTCATTCAATCCGAGGGTTACAACTGGGAAGTTTTTGAGATATCCACTACAAAATCCTTGTATTTTGATAGATTTTGAAGACCTTCAATGACACATTACAATATGCATGGATGCCTTATCAATAAGAAATCACATTCTTGTGGTTCATGATCACGATGTTTGGGCAATTAAATTTCTTATATATATATATATATATATATATATATATATTATTACAATTCACACTAATAAGCCGGGAGCGTTTTGTTTTCTGTTGAACGATTGATAAGAGTACAAGAGATAGACAAAGGAAGAATAGATATATTGTTTCCAAATGAACTCAAACTACACGAATGGCTAAAAGAATTCTCTTCATTCTCTTGCCCAAGAAGCAATGGTATTTCACAGATAACAAAGAAAAGGAGGCTGTGCAGGGTCATTGCCGATTATACCCTAAAGAGTGTTGGCGTTCAAATGTTCAAGTCATTTTCGAGTCTCAGAAGTCATTTTTTTGTTTATCGATATTTAAATAGTACACATATTTCAATCACTTAGATGCGAAGGCAATATTTCTATACAGCTTAACCTTTAACCCAATATACAGACATTTCGATTGTCCATGAGGTTACCATAGCTTGGAGGTTACCGTCGCAGATGAGTTCTGGTGTGGAACACGTGACATTAACATTTTGCCATTAGGTCTGTTCAATTTGGCAGTGTAATTTTAACGTAGGGGTCACCAGATTGCGGAAATATCTGAAAAGGTGTGGGGGAGGAAAATAATTAAAAAGAATGAAAAATCAATGTGCCTGTTCAAATTTATAACGACAACGTTTTTTTTATCATTAAATTGCGTTTATTTAGAATTTCTTTCTACTATTTGATGTGATTTTCTTCAGCTCGGATGACTTGATCTTGTCAGAAATCGAATCCTATCTGAACGAACTCCAATTATCATCACAGACATTTGGCAAAAGCCTTCAATTAACACAGATTTTTAATTAAAATTCACCGCTAAAATATTGACTTTTTAAATTGGTTCAAATGGCGTCAGTTTTGCCGTTCAATTACCTCTGTTCATCTTCTGTTTATTGTTACATTTTTTTTCATATCGCCATTATAATTTTTATCAACTTCATAACTGATATTATCATCGCCTTTGTTGTCGCTATTTCTGCAAATAAAGTTTGACCACTAATTTTCCAGGAACTGATGACCCATACTTTTTTTTTTTCATCTGAAAGCTATGGAGAGTGGATTGTAGTTAACTACAATAGTAGTTAACTTATATTAAGTCCCTAAACTATTTACTTAAAAAATTAAATGTTTAAATTGGTAACATTCATCATTTTTTAGACATTTCTATCAAGCATTGAAATCTATCTTTTACATAATTTTGTTAAAACAAAATTACAGCCTCTTTCGATTCACTTCCCTCTCCCCCTCTCTCTTTGCCGTAACACTCATTTAGATATATCTGCATTACTGTTGTCTGTCTCCTCTTTCCTTTCCATTTTTCCTTTTCTTTTCTCCCCACTCCCCTCCCATTCCTATATATCATTTCCGTTAAGTTAACCATCTAAATAGGTCACGATTAGGTCACTCCTCCTACCCCAATATAAAGCATGCTTAGGGGAAATATGAAATTAACCCCTCCCTATTCTCTAGCTTGTCTCGTTAACTACAACTATCACCCTCCCTGTTAAATTACAAATATTACACAATCCATCAATTTCTAATCCCATTTTTCCTTTCATTTCGTTGTTGGAAGTGTTACCTTATGATCCAGAATCCTTTAAAAAGGATTTTGGTGAAATAAATTATTGTAATGGTACCTTAAAGTGGTCTGTTTTTTCATTAAATATTAGCTCTGTATTCACATTGAGCTCTCAGGATTTAATCCTCCTTGGAATTACCCATTCAGTTTACCAAGTTCTTCGTAACTTAACTATATATATATATATATATATATATATATATATATATATATAGTGAAACCTAGTGAGCCAGACAAACCTACCCAGGTTTCACCTAAGCGGATCGTCAGGAAATCTGGGTAGGTTTGTCTGGCTCACTAGGTTTATCTAGGTCTGCTCTATGGTTGTATTGAGGTCTTTTTAGTTAGTTGTTTACTCGTGTCGGGTACTTTTTCTTTGGGCTTTGAACCTTTATTTGTGCGATTTTTTTCGACAGGCTTCCATGTTCCTGGCTCTTTTTTTTTAAACCTTTTTTTTCCTTCGAGATTGATTTGATTATTGGCAAATCAAAAATTCGAAGGTTTTTCGAACAGTATCGTTACTTATATATATATATATATATATATATATATATATATATATGATTAAATATACTTTTAGGTATACCATATTTATATATAGCATATCTTAAAATTATATTTTATTATATATATATATATATATATATATATATATATATATATATATATAGTTTTAAGATATGCTTCCGACTACTGATCGATTTACATTTGGTATAGTAGAAAGGTATCAGATTGATATTATCATTATTTTCAGGTCTAGTTGCCTATTTTATTGTTGCTGATATTGTAAGTGTATAATTGTGAGTGCAACTGAGAGCAAATATTTATGATAGTATAAGTAAAAAAATCAAGTGTAGAATTTTTTTTATAAATACATTATAATAAAAGTTCATAGAGTTTATGAATATGTTGCATATGAACATCATGCTTTTTTTTCACAATTTAAAACAGGAAGTACACAGGATGAGTTTGTAAAGTAATTTGTGGATGCAAGGAAAATAATATAAGTACGAAGAAGCATCCTTTTTTTTTTAGTAGGCATCTGAATTCAAATTCTTCTTTTGAATGGTTTGTTGGAAGTCAAGTCCAGATATATTGACATCCTATCAAGTATATATTTGCTGTGCTTGGCGTATTGAGTACACTATGTTTTACTCGCTTAGATTTCTTTTCTTTGGAATGCAAATTTAAGGCAATGGACAATTTTTCGCGTCCTGTTGGGATGTTTTAGTTCTTTCTTTTTGTTTAAAGTTTTTCCTCGGATACAAAATTATTTTGATATAATTGCAAATTTTGCCATACGAGTTTTCTTTTTACGAACAGAGTATATATATATATATATATATATATATATATATATATATATTTGGATTGATGTGAGTTTGAGTCCTTATATATATATAATAAAAAGGCTTAAACACTAATATTCCATGGTCATAATTTATTCCATTGGAATCGTAAAAACCATCCAATTCATCAGACCTAAAAATTCAAAAAGAAAACAGAAAAAACAACCACCTCGTCTTTCCCTCCCTCTTATTCTGACATTAAATCGTCTATGGTGTGTGCATGTCATCAGGAAATGTATCTTTATGCATTAGACATCCGACAACATTCATATTTCTCTTATTTAAACCCCTTCCACTCACCTCTCCGAAAATTCTTATAAAGTTATTTATATTTATATTTTAGCTATATATTTTGCATATGTATGTGTATATTTACCACTAATATTATATATATATATATATATATTGATGCATGTTTCATTAAAAAATATAGACAAGTTTTGTCGATTATTTTAAGTAAGTTTCTTTCATATTGTCTGATAAGCTTAATAACATTATCATCGAAAGACGAAAGGAAATCACCATCCTGTGTCGTCTTGGCTTGTGTGCAGGAGCGGAGTCCTGCTGGAAGATGTAAGGCCGACCGGCCGGCGGTGATCTCGTCCATCTAGTGCTTCATCGTGCTCCTTAGCACCTCCTGGTAGATCTCAGCCGTGACACTCAGGCCCAATTGAAAGAAGAACGGAGGCATAACGTCCCCCTCGCTGGAGATGACGCCAAGGACCATAACGGAGGAGGGAAACTTCGTATGCTTCCCGACGGGAACCTCCTCAAAGATTTTGCAGACTCACTTGTCGTTCTGCCTGTTGTTCGTCTGATCCTGGATGAAATTCTTTTCATCAGAGAAGAACCTCAGCATCCCAGTGAACCCGTGCTCGAGCTCATTCACCAAAGCCGCTGCCATGACCTTCCTCGACTCCTTGGAGGCATTCGTGATGAGCAAGCGGTGAGACTTGCGGTAGGGGGATTAACCAATGTCCTTCTTCATCGTTCGGCAGATCGTCGACTTGCGACAGCCCATGGCAGCGGTGATCTTGGCGTAGCTCTGGCTTCCATCATTGTCGACTGTCCTCTTGACTGACGGCCGAAGAACGAACGTTGTGGGCCTTTCGTTTGGCGGTAAACTCGTCCTTGTTCTCCCACGACTTCAACTTCCTCCAAATGTCCATGACCATAGTCCTCTTGAACCCAATCCAGGCCATCACTTCTGCAGGCTTCTTCTGGACGCGAAAAGAAGCAACTACCGCTGCGCTGCGCTCATATTTCATCCTGGAAAAAGGGTAGAGAGAAAAACGTTAGTTAGTTGTCAAACTGCCGGGTATCTGCATATACAACTTTTGTTTTTATTGCCGATTTCGTTTTCTTTTTGTCAAGTGTCTATTTTGCTGTAACACCCTGTATATCGTAAAAAGTTTATTTGAAAAGCAAAATGGGTCAGTGATTTCAAAAGTCGGTATGTATTCGAAGAATATGATGCTGTGTAACTAATGGATTTGGAAAGACAGTGTGTTTTATAAGATTCTTACGACATTCCAGACGTTGAATTCAGACAATTACTGTCATTGAGCCAATTATTTGCAGGACATGATGCGTCTCAAATTGGCCAATCACAAGTGTTTCGGCTTCAACCAAGAATACCCAATATATTACGTCTCTTCGCAGACAAAACCATGAATTGGCACAGATTGTCTGGGAAGTCATACTACACACACATGATCTTGCATCTTCGGAATACCCGTCATTTCAGTCATAATAAGATTATTACAAGACGAATGACACAAATTATATATATATATATATATATATATAGTCTTAAGGTGTGCTATATTTACGGGATAAATTGCTCAATATGAGAGATAGAGCGTGTGTAAATATAAAAGTGAACACTGAAGTCAACACTCAGAGGCGACAGGCTGTTTCATGCTAGATGCAATCAATTGCCTCTCGCGTGCAACAGGCTTTCGCCTCTGAGTGTATATATATATATATATATATATATATATATATATATATATATATATATATATTGAATAAAAAGACAGACCACGTTAAGATTCCATGCAATAAGTTATTTCACCATAACCCCTTTAACAGGGTTCTGGATTACTTCAAAAGCTGAAATGAAAAATGAAAAGAAATTCACACGTTTTTTTACGGACCTCATCAAGTATACGTAGCCGACACACTGGGGTTAAAATAGGAAACTAAAGTGATACATATGACACACTCATATCCTCTCTTCCACCTCACTTCCTCACTTCGTTAACTTTACGTATTCATGTTTATTCTAAACATTTTGCCGCTATTATTTGACGCACTCAGGTTGATATACTTTAAAAGAACATAAAACAAACCAAATCAAACCAAACCAAGACCCGAGAGCCACTCGAGGTAGAAGGTTACATTGTAAGAGGTACAGCTTATATGTATATGTGTGTAAGATGACGGTTAACCTAGACTTGTATAGATTAAGATTGTAGTGGTTGGGGAAGCAACCGCGTGGGAGTCAGCTTTACAAGATAACGGTTTGGGGAAAAAGCTAAAACGAACATCACCCCTGTGGAGTAAGATTAGAATGAGGTGGTACGCTCCAGTGTGTGTAGGACAGCGGTTCTTAGATCTGAATGTTAGGACTGGGTGAACTAAAGAATGTAGTACATTTGAAAATCTTTCCTGTAAATAGTGATAGAGCAGATAGGGTCTTGCGGCGACACATTATCTGTAAGGAAGGGTTTACAGAATAGATTATAATATATCGCCTCCAAGGAAGCGGAGGAGCTTTTGGACTCTACCAAAAGTGGAAAATGGGTTACTGGGCAGATTCCACATATACAGGGTGCAATGGGTAAATTGCCAACATTATATTTTTAATTTCGCACATGGACGTTGTTTATTATTTTTTATTTTGTCGACTGCACAGTATAGTACGGTCAGTTTGAGAAATCTGTGAAAAAAAGATCACCATAACGCAATTCACTCTGCTAGAAATTTGGAAACGGTATGCTGTACTGATTAGCATTCACGCACGAAGATCCAATACGAAAATCTCAGAGTGTTTGGGTGTCAATCTGAGGACAGAGCAGAATATTCGGAGAGAGTTAGATGAGTTTCATGGTGATTCCGAAGGTATGTCAGCGCGGAAAACTCACTCTGATAATTCTTGTAAGAAAAGAACTCTTATTAAAGATTATGGGGGAAAATGAACTCCCAGACAAACAAAACACTATGAATACCAGTAATATATTTTTATATCAAGTTACCAACAACACCTATTTATAGCAAAATTACAAACAATATGACTAACAATATATTTTATTAGGAATGACTAACAATAGATTTTTTTTTTAGTTGAGCGCGTACAATTGCGTTCAAAACATTTAGATTTTTGCATTAAACCATCCATATCTATAGAGATTGGTAGACCGCTAAACAAAATACGCCAAACAGCCAACTCTTGAGATTTGAAAAAAAAATTCTTTTGTCAATTACAAGAACTTATTGAATATTATAGATTTAACTATAAATCCATGAGAGTGGCTACGACATCAAAAGAATGCCTGTGAAACATATTCGTATATTCATCAGTTCTCTTTTCCTGAATAAAATGAAGTATTGTTATATATAACGATAATCTTATTAAATTTCTTTGGCTACATCTTTAATCATGTGTCCCCGTAATCTTTGAACATATACTGTAACTGTGAAACATTATCTTAACCTCATCTGTAACTCACTATGGATCATGACCTCATCACCTATAATCCCGACCCGAAGCAACACACTATATCCGTTTGCTTGTCGTCTTAAACTTCATAAGCTGGCTGCTATATTTGATTTTCTTGGCTTATTGAGCGTAGCGCGGTGTTCGTTGGTCGTTGCGAAGAACAGTTGAAGTCTAGCTTTTCATGTATTTCGTTCTTTCTATTCCGCCATTTTATGGATGCCATTTAACGCAGGAATATCAATGGATCTCACATGCTTTTAATCTTGATTTACGAACCGACATCTTCATTTTGATACATTTTCGCTGCGGCAAGGCTTAAAAGAACCTCTATACGAAATTTTATAAATTGTTTCTTGCCTACATCGAAATTGTTTTCTTCCCAGTTCGGTGGAACCGGACGATCTATATTTATGATATATCTTGGGTTTATTTACATTACTTATATAATAAATTATATGCCAACATTTGTTGCTATTACCAAAACGATTTCTGTATCTGTACTGGGTATGATGATAAACTATAACCGGCAGCAAAGCCTCTAATCGGGAATTTTTGAGGTGCGTGGAACCACCTATTAATTGTTGGTGTTCCCAGCTCCACTCTGACTCGGAGTGGTAGCACTTATTAGACCCCCAGCTATGGATAAATATTTAACCCCCCAACTGGGGTCAAAACATTAGGAAAAAATAACAAATGACATATTCAATTCAAATTCGTTAAAGAATTCGATTCTATTGATCATGTTAGAGGGGTGGGATACAAATGGTTAAATCGCAAGACAGGGCCGAGTTATTGGTATTGGACAAACTGTAAGAAGAAAAATTAATATGTTTATCTCTTGTAACAGAAACGCCAAACTTTGATTTAATCAGAAAATTAAACCGCGGCAAATTCTTGGTTCTGCTACTAAAGAAAGTATCAGCTTTGGACATATATCGCGAAAAACGGAATTCTTCAAGAGATAATGTATACACAGTGATTGATACTGGGTTCTTACAAAACTGACCCAAATCGGAGTAATACAAGATTTCATCTCTAAGAAATGTTCTTTCGACATTAAACAAATTACGGAACTTAATCTTACAGCTGAGCTTAGATATATACCCAGGGTTAACGTGATTCTGGGAAAAGGACATCACGAATTTCACTCTGAAACGAAGGGACTGTAAATTACTCCTGAAACGAACAGTATTATTGAGGTTATTAATTATACTGTAACTCTATGGACCACGTGAAAATGTTTATGTGCTACACCAACAAGATAGTATTAAAACAGGGAATGTCCTTATTAATCAAAATGTCGGATACAAAAGTATTGTCTCGATTAAAAATAGAAATTTTAAGGTACCTTTCTTCCGACGCTTCGTCAGAATACAAATCTTTGGACTTAAGAAAAACAACTAAAAGGAAACAAACCATTTTAAATTAAGGGAGACAATTAAGAATTAAGAGACAATTTTATAATTTATAATAATTTATAATACTTTTTGATGTTATGAATATGCATACACATGGGTTCCCCCTCACAGTAATATGATTTGCTGGTGTCAGCCATAAATACAGACTGATTGAGGACGCCTATGAACATGGCTACGCATATTGCCTACCACTACGACGAGGACCAGTCCATTACGGTTGTTGCAGTTTTTTTGTGTATGTACTAGTAAGCTAGACAAAATGAGCTGACTCATTTTTATAGTCCACCAAGAGAAGGGTTAACCAATCAGAAAGCTCAAAATATTCAATGCGACGTGTATAAAGGCAGCCATTTTGTTTTTGCTCCCAAATTATCCTCACTGCCAACCGGATATCGAAGACTTAAAGAATTACTTAACAGCCGCTACTTTCTCTGAATCTTCATTGCCGACCTCTGATATTGAACACATTACGGACTTCACTGGATTCCATATTCAGAGACTACGGCAAACATGGTCAACAACGGTTACCTGCTAGATTGTCCTACTCGGTAACACTAGTCCAAAACCACTTTGCAACTTCGAACAAATATATCCCTTTTGTTATTAGCAGTCTCTGGGCTCATGAAACATGACTTTTACACAATATAACCTATTATAAATCATCCGAAAACCAATTAAGCTATTTTTTAAAATGAGGTTCGCACTGTACAAATTACTTGAATTAGATGGTTACAGGTTTTTCTTGAAGTAAGGCATTTAAAAAGCCATTATGTAAAATATGAAAAAGTATTTTGTTTTTAATTATTTTTAATAATAGTAAATCGTAAATTATTAAAGTATTTTTATAAAAAAATATTTTAAAATGTCGATTTACTTTAGTAAAAAGTAAATTACATTACGATTTACTTTATAACAAATAATAAAAAAACAAAATATACA